GGAGGTGGGTTCTTGAGAGGAGCGCGGGATCATTTATAGAATAATGACGCTAGCTACCATGTTTAGATGGCTTACTGTGTACCAGGCACTGTTTTCAGCGCTTGACATGAGTTTACTTACGAATTCCTCACAACAAGCCCATTTTACAAACGAGCAAATGAAGGCTTAAGTAACTTGCTAAAGTCACGAAGTAACTTGCTGAGAGCTGAGTGTGCTGGGAAGCTGAGAGGGATGCTCAGAAGGGGCCCCATCCCTCCCCCCGGTTCCCAGATCCTCTGAAGCCTTGCACTGCCCTCAACATGAATTTTAACATATCCCTACCGGCTTAATGTCCGCTTTGAGCATCTCAGACGCTGGGATTTTGAGGGGGCCCCAGAGGGCGCTCTCCTGCCCCCATCTCTTTTCCTATTTAATCATCTCAGGAACTGTTATTTATTGAGAGAGCACATATTGTTTGGCCAGATGTTTTGTTTTTTTGTTTTTTTAAGATTTTATTTATTTATCTGACAGAGACACAGCGAGAGAGGGAACACAAGCAGGGGGAGTGGGAGAGGGAGAAGCAGGCTTCCCGCGGAGCAGGGAGCCCGATGCAGGGCTCAATCCCAGGACCCTGGGATCATGACCTGAGCCGAAGGCAGACGCTTAACGACTGAGCAACCCAGGTGCCCCTGGCCAGATGTAAGCAGGCTTCCCGCCGAGCAGGGAGCCCAATGCGGGATTCGATCCCAGGACCCTGGCATCGATGCAGGGCTCAATCCCAGGACCCTGGGATCATGACCTGAGCCGAAGGCAGACGCTTAACGACTGAGCAACCCAGGTGCCCCTGGCCAGATGTTGTATAGATGTTGTCTTAAACCCTCATGCCAGCCCCAGGAGAAGGCATTATTGTTCCCATTTTACGAAGGAAGAGGCTGAGGCTCAGAGAAGTTAAGTAACTTGCCTAATGTCTCCCAGCTAGTGGGTAGCAGAGCCAGGCATTAGTCCCAGATTGTCTGCTTTTCCCATTTCTCTAAGGCATATCTCTCCTCTGTTCGCTGTTCCTTGACGAATCCCCTGCCCTAGAGTAGTCTTAGCGCTTAGAGCACTCTGAAGCCATCCTGTTCATTTCTGTTCCCTTGTTTGCTATCCATCTCCCCAACAGTGCTCCTTTGTTGTTTGCTTTTCCTGATAGTCTCTCCAGCACCCACGCAGCAGCGGCCGGCTCGAAGCATTTGTTGTTTGACAGACTGAATGAAGGGATTATGATGTCATGGTGCCTCTTGACACAGGTCCTGGCCTGGTTGCCTTTGGAATAGAAGATGCTGCTGCTGGCCTTGCCTTCCCAGGGCGTGTGGAACAGGAGGCTGAGGTTAAGTGAAGCAGAGCCTTTGGGGGCCTGCGACTTGGTGGGGACTCCGTTGGTTCAGGGTCCAAAACACAGTTCTAGCCATTCCAGGGGTGAGCAGAGTGGGGGAGGCTGATTCACGTTAACAAAGCTCAGTGGGAAGCCCCGGGCATTTTCCCTTTGTTCCAGAGGGAAAATCTATACCTCAAAGAAGTCAGCCATGGGAAGCAGCAAATCAAATAGGAATCAGAGTAAAGGGAGTAGGTAGTTTTAATGGTTAGTGTCAACCAAAGGAACCTGATAACTTCAATGGGCAATTTTTAAAAATTGAAGTGTAACTTAGGTATAGCCAAATCTTAAGCAAATAACCCGATGCATTTTTGCATATATGTCCACTCATATAACTACCACTCAGATTAAGATGTAGACATTTCCACCACACCAGATGGGATCCCACCTTCTCCCCAGAAACTTCGGGTGTGCCCTTCCCAGTAAATAATCCCTGTCCCCACCCAAGGGCAACCACTGTTACTTTAAAATCGGTTTTTCCAGTTTTGAATTTCAGACACATGAAATCATATACTATTTACTCTTTTGTGTCTGAGTTCTTCCACCCAGATTGTCCATGTGAGATTCAGCGGTGCCATTGTATCTATTAGGAGTTCTTTTTATTTTATTTTATTTTATTTTTTATTTTTGTGTAATATTCCATTATATGAATATACCAGAATTTATTTATCCATGCTAGTCTTGATGGGCATATGGGTGCTTTCTTGTTTTTAGCCATAATGAATAAAGCTGCTGTGAATACTCTTGGACTTATTGTTTTGTTGTCATAAGCACTCATTTCCACTGGGTACTACCCAGGAGTGGAATTGCTGTGTCATGAGCTATACCCTCGTCTAGCTCGAGTGGGTACTGCCAAAATCTCTTCCACAGTGGTTCTATCATTTTAGAGTTTGATACTCTTAAGAGTTAATGTCATCAAAGGGAGTTAGATCATCTTAATGATGTCATCATTCATGATGCCTGGTCTCCAGCGAGGAAGCGTGGCTGGTGGCCAGAGGCCTTGTGTCTGCTGGCCAGGTCCTGTGTTTTCTGGCCTGTGCTGGCCAGACCCTGAGGATGTCAGGCTCTCCAGCTCCTTTTCAGTATTCCTTATCAGTCACCGAACCTTCTGTTGTTACAACACTATTTGGCTACGGGCAAGCCACAGTGTCCAAGATTACAGCTTATCTTCCACTGGAGTCTGTTATATCAATGTCTTCCTTGTGGAGAGGCACCCCAGGCCTGTTGTAGACATCCATGGGACCTTCTGGTCTTATCAGCAACTGGCATGCACATCATGCATGGCGGGGGTTGTTTCCTGATGAGATTTCCTGGGGTTCTTGGCCACAGATGACTCTCTGCCATGGTATGGTGATGCTCCTACATTTTCATCGCAGGGTGTGAGTTTCAGACCCATTCCCCGGATTCCAGGGTGCATCTTATATATGGACTACACGCTGATTACCAAATGTATAGAAAGTGTGAGTTGAGAAGGATCTCAGAGGTCTTCTAACCTGCTATAGGAGGGGAAACTGAGGCCCATGAGGTCAGACTTGCCCAAGGTTGCAGAGCTTGTCTCTGACAACTAGCCTCAGTTCATTCCTCTTTGGCAGCCAGGCAGGCAGGATGGTTGTCTGGACACTCAGTCTCTAGGCTGCTGGTAGCTGTTACTGTTTGCAGAGACTCTCATGGTTCAACATGTGTTGCCCCCAGTCGCTGCCCCACACTTTTTGACCTACAGCTCGGCTGCCTCTGGGGACTCACCTCTGTAATTAGTTCATGACTGTCCCATCCGTGTTGGTTGGAGAGGCTCCGGTAAGGTGTTACTTGTGGTAACTGCAGGACACATCAGGGTTTACCTAAGCACGTCTCATCTAGCCTGTGTTACTGTCACACCCACCCTCGTGAGTTCTCAGGGCTGGCAGCATTCTCTCTGTTTTAGAGATGAGAAAATAAAGGTCCAAAGATCACTCATGGTTTACTCCAGGTAATATATATTATATAGGACTTTCTCCTTCACCCAGCACAAAGCTCCCCTATTCTCTGAGGCCTGGTGAGAAAGCTGCCTTTTCTAGAACCTTCTGTGATCCTTCCTCTAGTAGACTCTCTCTCTCTCCTCTGACCTCCTAGGGCCTTCTGTACCTCTTTTATGAGGCTCAGCAACATCACCATGGGATAGTTTTGTAAATTCATCCATTCAACGTTCACTGAGTGCCCACTGTATTCAAGGCCTTGTGCTGGGGATAACAAGATGGAACTCATGGTTTGGTAGACAGAAGGACAAGAGCCCTGGATCTGGCAGACAGGCAGAATGATGCTCTGCGGTTGCACTGGGGGAGTGATGGGTACAGAAGGAGGGAGGGTGCCGGTCAGTCAGGGGATGCTTCCTGGAGGAAGTTACACATTTTATGTACAGGTTTTACCTCATCTTTGTGCACCTCTTTAGGGCAAGGACTCTGTTTTCAGCCCCTTGTGCCCCTGGTGCCCACCTCCACTTTCTCCATCCTCAGCCGTGAGCAGACAGGTATGAACTCGGGGGCCTTACCCTCCTTTTCAGAGCCCAAACATTGCTGGGCTGGGGGCTGGACGCTTAGGGAGGGGCTGTGTACTTCTCCCAGTCAGTCATCTTCCCTTTGGGTGTTGCAGCTGCGGTCCCCTGGCCCAGGTCACTGTGACAAAGGCCAGGGAGGAGCCAGTCTTTTGAGAGCTTCCAAGCCCCTGGAGAGAGCTTCCATCCCTTAAAGAGGTTGGCCCAGGCTCAGGGAGCAATGAGGGAAGAGTAACAGGCCTTTGGGTGAGGGCAATGAGCAGTCTGTGGGACTGGAGATATCTTAGCCAAGCCCTCTAAAAGTAAAGCCTGGGATGGTTGAGAGGGTGCAGGTCAGGCCCGGGATTTGTGAGAAAGTGCTCTCAGGAGACACTGGAAGGGGAAGCAGCCAGGCAAAACTGTGGTTCAGTTGCTTTAGGCTCAACCTGTTCCCAGGGGGACTCTGGAGAGTAAATGGCACCCTAGTCATCCCACCAGCGGCGGGGGGGTGGGGGAGGGCGGGGGGGGCTAGCTAGCGGTCACTGGGCTCCATGTGTGCGTACTGGGGAAAAGGGTGATCTTGTGGGCATTTCTGGCCCAGGCAGCTCCCACTGGCAAAGGGCAATTCCCAGGGGAAGGGGAGCTCTGTGCACCTAGCCACTAACACTCAGCAGCTGTGGGGTGGACGCCCCCGCCAGGTATAGGGAGCTCGGGGGGCACCGGCAGCTTCCACTACAGGGCCTGCTAAGACGGTGGTACTCACTGAGTGATAACCAGTCCATATAGATACTGAGCCCCTCATGCTCATCAGCTCACTAAGAGCACAGATCTCCTGCAAGGAGAGTGGGATGAGGAGGAACTGCTCCCATCCCGAGTCCTTGACCTTTCTGGTTCTGGCCTAGGGCCCTGGGAGTGTCCTTTCCAGAGCTCAGCAGGTCAGGCCTCTGAGGAATGGCCTGGGGAGGTCTGGGCTTCCTCCTCCCACTACCGTACTCAGAGGAAGGAGCCTTAGACCCCCTCTGGCCTTGGTGCCTCTTGCCTAAACCTGTGTCTCCGCCCGTGCCCCCCCCCCCCCCCCCCCCCCCCCGCCTCCGCCCCCAGCTCCCGCCCAGGCTCAGATTGTCCACGCTGGCCAGGCATGTGTGGTGAAGGAGGACAACATCAGCGAGCGTGTCTACACCATCCGGGAGGGGGACACACTCGTGCTGCAGTGCCTCGTCACGGGGCACCCTCGGCCCCAGGTAAGCGCCCCCCTCCCCCCGCCCGACGGCCTCGCCTCCTCACTCCCCACCCTGCCCTGGGATCAGAGCTGCAGAAGAGGCAGTGGGAGCTGGGAACAAGAGGTGCACGAAGTTGGCAAGCCAACACAAGACAGAAGACTGGGGCCGGGGGAGAGCTAGAAAATGAACTCTGTGGGGAAGGGCTGGAGGCCGTGAGCTTATTCTCCTGAAAACATGGATGACTGAGGGATAAATTAAATGGCAGTTGTTCAATTCCACTTCCTTCCTGTTGTATCTGCTGGGCAGACGCTTCCTCAGATGCACCTTCCACCTCCGTCTGAGGGCAGACCTCACATGCCAACACTGTGTTGGTGCTTCCTCCAGCGTCTTCCCTTTGGAGCCTCACAACTGGGCTGTGGGGGAGACATGAGGGCTTCTGTTACACAGCTGAGGAAATCAAAGCTTGGGGAGGTTGAGTGAACTCCCAAGATCACACAGCTCCTGGGAGGGTGGAAGCCGAATTTGAATCCAGACCCGGTGTTCTCTGTAGCTTAGCACACTTCCCCCCAGTGTGTCCATCTTTGGGTTGGGGGGTTCTGGGAGCCTCTTCAGAAGGCTTCAGGTAGGCAAGCCCCACACCCTTGAGGTTAAGAGACTGAAAGCAGTTAGAAAGCAACAGAAGAGGAGTACCTGGAAATGCCAGGTACGTTTTTGTCACGGACCAAGTATGTGGTTTAGTCAGAAGGGTTGTCCAGTTATCACTGAAGCTGATGGGAAGAGGCAGGAGGTGGGCTGGAGGGCTGGCTGGAATTTGCTGGTGAGCTGCTGTGGCATTTAAGAGCAGCAGAAAATTTTTCATTGGCTCCTAGGGGGGACAATGAAATGCAGAAGCATTTTTGGGATAATTTTGGGCACAGAGATGGCTTTGGTAGGTTTAGCCTGGAGATAAGCAAAGGGACAAGGAAACCCCTGAGGACTCAACCTGAAACCATCATCACCGCTTGCTTCTTCTCAAAGTTTTGTTTCAAAATGATAGTGATGCTGCCAGGCTTCAGGTTGCTGTTTGCATCGGGCGTGATGTCAGGATGGTCCTCCCTGGCCAGGGAGGCCGCTGGGCCATCTCTCCCTCAGGCTGCACTGGCCACCTGTGTGTGTCCCCTTGTGCATCACATTCATGAGTGGTTTATGACAGGGGCTCAGTGTGTGTGCGCGCACACTCTTCTTTCTACGTCCATCCACAGTGTCATTGTTCTTCCTGCTACCTAGGCTCAAACCCTTGGGCTACAGTACGGCTCTGTACCATCTCATTCCCCACATCTAGCCAGCCTCTGAGGCTTCTGTTTTTATGTCTCTTGCATGGGTCTTCTGTTTCTGTTCCTATGACCTCTGGAGGTCAGACCTGCAATCCTAGCCCTTGGACCACTGCAGTAGGCTAACTGGCCCCCCTCCACGTTCCCCCCTCCAATTCGCTTCTGTGCCCTGCTCCCAGAACTGTAATCTTCAAACCTGCTTTATCATAGCACTCCCCTGCTCAGAAACCTCCAATGGTTTACCTATTAACTTCCACACCCTGCTCAGGCTGCTAGGGGTGGAAGGGAAGACCCACCCTCCCCCCACAGTCTGGCCCCACCTGCCTTTCCTGTCTGACCTCCACTGCCATCCTCCTCATACCCGTACTGTGCTCCAGTCACACTTGCCCAAGTATACCCTCTTCATTCCTATGTTAGCCCCTGCTGCTCACCTCTCCTGCCGTCTGCCTCGTTTGCTCATTTCACTAAACACGTATTTATTGAGCACCTGCTATGTGCCCAGCACTGTGATGGGCCCTGAAGATATAGTTACAGTTCCCGTTGTCATGGAGCATCCAATCTAGCAGGAGAACAGGGAAGGAGCATCTCAAGGCCCACTTTGAGGTCAGGATGGGGGATGGAATGGGCATGTAATTCCCCACTCCAAACAAATAGCAAGAGAGTGGGAATCTCAAGGGCCAAAATGAAGAAAGAATCTGGAGCAATGGCAGTGAGCAGAGGTGAAGAACATGGTCCTTGGAGGGGCTTGAACTACATACTCACCTCAGGGATAATAGTATGAATACACGCACGTGGGGTATGAGCTGAGGCCACAGGTCCGTCTGTGGTTGGAGGCTAGACTTAGACTCTCTACCTAAAGCAGGAAGCTTGACAAGGGCACCCCCTGTGAATGGGGACCAGAAGCTCTCTGTCCCACAGCCCAGAGTCACAGCAGGGAGCAGACTCTGCTTCAGGGCATGTGTACAAACGGTTGCCTCTAAAGGAGCACACTCCTTGGGCTGTCTGTTTCTTACACCGTCCAAGTGGTGAGGACACCCAAAGCTGAGAAACTAATATAAAAACTAGTTGGAACCTGTGAACCCATGGGTCTTGGGCATAGGCAACCATAGAGCTACACCACAGATAGGCATGTGAGGGCCCACGTGGAACTTCTGTGGAAGAAAACTCCCACGGACTACAAGCCTGTGGAGTAAAATTTTAAAACACATTTAAAAATACAGTGCCAGCAGGGCCAGTCCAGAGACTCAAAGAATTGAACAAGTCACATCTGAGGAAACAGAGAACACAGAGCCATCTGAAAGGATCTCAAGAATAAATATGTTTAAAGTGTTTAAAGAGATAACAAAAGATTATACAACCTGATCAGTTAGATATGGGGGGAAGAAACCAAATAGAAATCCTAGAAATAAAAATAATACGGTCTTTTGAAAAATTTGGCCTCAATACCATAGAGATAGTTAAAGAGAAAATTAGCTAATTGGATGATAGATCCGAGGAAATCAACTACAAAACAGTCCGGAGAAGACAAAGAGATGGGAAATGTGAAAAGGAAGTGGGGAGACATGGAGGATAGAATGACAAGCTACAACATAAACTTAGGGCAGACTAGAGAAAACTGAGAGAAGACAACATCTAAAGAGATAAAGGCTGAGAATTTTGTAGAATTGAAGAAAAGTACAAACCCTGGAGTGGCTGCTCTCTGCATGAGAAAGTTGCCCTTCACCCACTTCTCCCCAGCCTTGTTGTTTTCATGGCCTACAGCCTGACCTCTTCACCGGGATCAGGGGCCTTGCCCTGTCTCAGTAATACGCGATCCTCCCCAACTTTAAGTTGGAGGCTTCCCTACCCCATCCTCCAATCCTTAAGACTTAATCACCTGGAACTGACCAATTTTTCTTAAACCTCTGCTACTCTGAGCAGTAGCTCCAGTGTCTTGTGTGATCCTTGCTAGCTCCCCACCATCTAGGGCAATGTTGATAACAATGGAAATTTGTTGAGTGACTAATATATACCAGGGGCTACATTTAGGTGCTTTATACACTTTGTTTCTAAACCTCTGCAAAGCGGAAATTATGCTGTCATAGTTATAGTTATCTACTGCTGCGTAACAAATGCTCTAAAACTCGGCAGCTCAAAACAACAAACACATATTGCCTCACCATTCCTGTGGGACCAGAATCCAGGAGCAGCTTAGCTGGCTGGTTCTGGCCCATGGTCTCTCAGGAGGCTGCAGCCATTTGAGAACTGACTGGGGTGGGAGGACCCGCTTGCAGGCTACCTCCTGTGGCTGTTGAGCTGAGGTTTCCCTTCTTCCCCTGTGGATCCCTCCCTCCGGAGGGCTGCTCATGACAAGCCAGATGGCTTTCCCCAAGATGGAAATCACAGTCCTTCATAAGCTGATCTTGGAAATGACATACCATCATGCCCACTGTGTTATATTGGTCACACAGCCCATCCCTGGTACAAAGTGGGAGGACACCCCAGAAAAAAGGACTAGAGGCCGGGATCGCTGGGGACCATCTTGGAGGCTGGCTACCCCATAGACCTCTTCTGCAGATGAAAAATCTGCAGCTGAGAGAGGAGTAACCTACCCAAGGCCACTAAAAACTTTATCAAATTCTTAGTCTTACAGGCACTAAGGCACATTTAATCCTCCCAGGAGGCCTAGGCGGGATATTCTCCATTTTCCCAATGAGAAAAGGAAGGCAGGAAGGGTGGGATAACTTGCCCCAACCCAGCTTGCCTCTTAACCACCGCACTATACCGCCTTCTTTAAAGCCTCCTCCCTCTGACCCCAGATTCCCCAGATTCTTTCCCGAGGCACCCTACCCCACCTGTGTATTCCCCTGGGGGAATTAGTTTCCCAGGCCGGGGTGGTCCCCACGGGCACTCAGGAAAAGCAGTGAGGGCCGGGGGGAGGGAAGGCACGGTCGCCTGGCCTTCTGCCCGGAACCCTCCCCCCACAACTGCCGCGGCTCACTCGGCCCACCCCGCGGGCCCAGGTGCGCTGGACCAAGACTGCGGGCAGCGCCTCGGACAAGTTCCAGGAGACATCGGTGTTCAACGAGACGCTGCGCATCGAGCGCATCGCGCGCACGCAGGGCGGCCGCTACTACTGCAAGGCGGAGAACGGCGTGGGCGTGCCCGCCATCAAGTCTATCCGCGTGGACGTGCAGTGTGAGTCTTGGCCGGGGGTGCCCCCGGGGCGCTCAGGCTGGGCGGGAGGAGGGGGTGGAAAGGAGGCTGGAGAAGCGACACCTCCGTGGAAGAGCACAGTAGAGACTTCCATCTTTCCCGGACTAAAGGGGTTTACCTGCTGTTCCTCCAGTGTGTCTACCCTCTACCCTCCACACGTTTCCCTCCATGATCCATACGTATCTTGCAACAGCCCTCTCAAGTGATCAGGGAGGGTGGGACAGGTTGGATTGTACTTTTTTCCCAGATGAAATTGTGGTACCGGGGGTTTGTGACATGTTCACCCGCAAAGGTTCTCTGGACTCTGCTGTGGTGCCCTTCCCATAGTACCTCATGTCTCTGCTTTTGCCCCAGGGGCTGCTCTGAAACTTCCCTACTCCCACCACTTACAGGACCAAGCACCCCTCAATCCTGGCTGCTGGTTGAATGGGAAGCCCCTAGTCCCTACCTGCCTGCCATAGAGATACCCCCCTTAGTCCCAAGAGGCTATTTCACTGCTTGCGCGGGCTGATCCTAGTTACCCAGAAGCCGTAGGGCCAAGCCAAGGGGCCTTCTGACACCATCTTAATGTCTACAATGAACCTACCCATTAAATATGCCCGTGCCCTCCGGCAAGTGAGACCCCCAAGTGGTGAGCAATGGAACCTCAGACCCTTCTGTCCCCTTTCAGTCAACGACAGGCCTGCCAAATCCTGGGACTGGGGGTCATTTCTTGATTTATTGGTGCTGGAAGGGGCCTGGGTGTCACCAATGCCCTACCTCCACCTCTGGTCTTTGTTATGAGTTCTGTCCAAGTGGGCTGTGCGAGGACGGAATGATGAGACACCTGTCAAAGGATGTTAGGCTGTGGAATGTGGGTGCCTTTGGTTCACAACGCTGGCTGCCCATTAGAATGTCTAAGGGGGTCTTTAGAAGAAACTATCGATGCCTGGGTTCCACTTCCAGAGATTCTGATAATTGGGCATGGGGCCCTGGCGTCAGGATTTTTCTTAAACTCTTTTTTTTAAATTGAGGATTAAGCTACATCCGATAGAGTACACTAATCTTAAATGTACAGTTCAGTGAATTCTTATGTCTATGCATGTGTAAACACCATCCAGTTCAAGAGCATTTCCAGGACCAGAAATTTCCCTCCTGCTCCCTCCCAGTCAATAATCTCCTTAGAGGCAATCATTCTTCTGACTTCTGACACCATCAATGAGCTCTGCCAGGCAGTGGTATTAGAAAGTCTCCATGTGATTCTGTCGTGCAAACAGAGGTGAGAACCACCAATCTAGTCCAATTTACCAGCGAGGAAACAAGCCCAGAGAGAGAAGAGACTTAGGCAGGTCACACTGCAAATTAACAGCTAACCTGGGATTTGAACCCGTGTCCTGATTTCCAGTCTGCAGCTGCTTCCTCCATCCCATGATGGGAGGGTGAAGATAGACACCTGCATGCAGGGCCGGGGGGAGGGACAGCTGGGAAGCCGTTAAGTCCATTCCCCTGCCTCTAATGGGTGGTCAAGCTTGTGGGCTGGGAGAGCATCTGGCTCTCTGGAAGCATCCCTTGAGGGTGGCTTCGCTTTCCCTGGTGGCTGCCAGAAAACCCAGCCCCCCACCTTGGGGTGAGCCGGCCCTGACTCCACTGGGGCTGTGTCCTTGCAGACCTGGACGAGCCCGTGCTGACGGTGCACCAGACGGTCAGCGATGTTCGAGGCAATTTCTACCAGGAGAAGACGGTGTTCCTGCGCTGCACTGTCAACTCCAACCCGCCTGCCCGCTTCATCTGGAAGCGGGGCTCCGACACCCTGTCTCACAGCCAGGACAATGGGGTCGACATCTATGAGCCCCTCTACACCCAGGTCAGGATGGACAGCAGCCAGCCTGGTCTCCTCATGGCTCGCCCCACACTTCCTTCTGCACCCAGCAAGGGAGGGGGACGCAGAGACCTAGGCCTTGTGATCCCGTGTTCCAGGGACTATGCCCTGACTCCAGTAATTCTGTTCTGATGTCGGAAGCATGCATTCGGATTGGGCTTCAGACAACCCTTGCCAAATGAAATCAGGACAGACAGGTCAGGGAGGACAGGAGAGTCCCCCAGGCACCGGTCCTCCGGGGACATTGCTAGTTAGGAAAGGCACCCTCCAGGGGCAGGCATGTGATCCCTGCGTGCGGCTGACTGGCAGAGTATTGGGAACTCTTGGGCAGGCGCAGTAGCAGTTGGGGGCAGAGAGATGACTGCACTTCCCATGGGACCCCTACAGTCCCGGGAGGTGGTGATGCAGCTGTCCTACCAGGAGCGTCTTTCAGAGGTTGGCTATCCTAGGTGGCAAAGCTCCACAGGAGGCCACGGCCTGCGGGCCAGCCCCATGTTTGTATGGGTTGTAAGACAGAGCAGGAGTCCTTTCTTACCCTCCATTTCCCAGAGTGGGAAAACTGAGGCCTGGTCCCGGCCGGTGTGTCCCAGGACAGCATCAGATGCAGAGAAGCCCAAGGTATGGAGACTGCAGTATCCACCCCAGTTTCTGGCTCCCTGAGCCTAAAGGGTGTGGAGGTTGGAAAGATAGGAATTAAAGTAGGAATTTGCTTCCGCCTCGGGTGCTGGGTGAATGTGTGTGGGATCCCTAGAGACCCAAGCAGGCCCCTCACCCCAGTGCTCTGCTGCTGCCTAGGGGGAGACCAAGGTCCTGAAGCTGAAGAACCTGCGGCCCCAGGACTATGCCAGCTACACCTGCCAGGTGTCCGTACGCAACGTGTGTGGCATCCCGGACAAGGCCATCACCTTCCGGCTCACCAACACCACGGGTACAGGCCTTCCCTGCCCGTCGCCCCCCCTCCCCCGCCCGCCTGGGGCTGACTCCCCAGCTAGGAGACGGCGCTCCGCCCCACACAGGACTCTAGGCCCCTCACCATGAGCATGTCCCCACCCCGCCCCTCCACCTGCTCCCTGCCCTCTCCCTCCAGGCCTTCCCCAAGCCCACGGCTTCTCCTCCCCGCTCAGCTCCCCCAGCGCTGCCTCACGGTCCCCTAAGACCCCACCACCTTGTCCTTATAGCACCACCAGCCCTGAAGCTGTCTGTGAATGAAACTCTGGTGGTCAACCCGGGGGAGAATGTGACAGTACAGTGTCTGCTGGCAGGCGGCGATCCCTTACCCCAGCTGCAGTGGTCCCACGGGCCGGGCCCGCTGCCCCTGGGTGCTGTGGCCCAGAGTGGCACCCTCAGCATCCCCTCAGTGCAGGCCCGGGACTCTGGCTACTACAACTGCACGGCCACCAACAATGTGGGCAACCCTGCCAAGAAGACGGTCAACCTGCTGGTGCGATGTACGTGGGTCCGGAGGGGCGGGAGGGGACTCGGGAGGCGGGCGGGGGCCCTGCCCTCCAGGAACCGCCGGGGAACTGGGAAAGGAGCCTGTCCGCTTCCTTTTGTCTGTCTGCCGGTGGCTGGACTACAATTTGTATAAAGTTTCATTTATAATCTACATTTCCAAATGTCTTCTTGACAATGGAAGAAGTGGGAAGGGCTGGCGTTGATTTCCTATATATTTTTTTAAGGTTTTATTTATTCATGAGAGAGAGAGGCAGAGGGAGAGGGAGAAGCAGACTCCTCACTGAGCAGGGAGCCCAATGCGGGACTCGATCCCAAGACCCTGGGATCACGACCTGAGCCAAAGGCAGACGCTTAACTGACTGAGCCACTCAGGCACCCCAATTACCGACATCTTTCTTAGATTGGGAAACTGAGGCTGCCAAAAGCTAAATGTGGACATTCCACTCTTTAAGAGAAATTTCCTGACTCTTCCCATACAATGGTTTCTACATTTTTCACAGAATTAAAATGAAAATAACATGGATTTGTACATACCTCATATGCAAATCTTTACTAGCAAAGCGTGTCGGTGAGTCTGAAGGTAATTACTAAATGTAAAAATGACACAAAACTTGGGGCACAATTAAAGAAGTATAAACACCCTACTTACTAAACCTCAGCCTCATTAGCTTCTCAGTATGATCTTGATTTTGCTACTGTGCTTGAAGGAGAAAGCTTTTTTTTTTTAAGTTTTATTTATTTAAGTAATCTCTATACCCAACATGGGGCTCGAACTCACAACCCTGAGATCAAGAGTCACATGCTCTACTGACTGAGCCAGCTGGGCGCCCCTAAAGAGAAAACTTTAAATTCTTCTGACTTAGAAGTAACTTTAGGTTGTTGTTTGGTTGTTGTTTGTTTATTTGAAAATATTAAAGATCCAGGCTTGTTTGCAGCTCTTTAGCCCTTGAAAATAAAGTACAGCTTCTGTCAAATCCAGCGGAGAGTCTTCTGATGAAATGGTCCCTCCTTTTTGTTCTTCCCTCACCAACCAGTCTCTCTCTGACTCTTATCCCAAAAAGAAGCTAGCTCTCGGTGACTTTTTACTTAATCAGAGCAAGAAAGACAGTAGCAAGATTGTTGGTGATGACTACTTTTTCCTTTGATGGTACTTTTCTTGTCAGATTACTCTTTTCCACCTAATTCCATTTGGCCTTTAAAACCTAGGCTCCTGAGATTGCAGTTTACGTCAAATACTTACGGTCGTCTCTTAGGGTGACGTACAGCCTGCTCTGCCCAGCCCAGTCCTAGTTCATGGCCGTTGTACCACGGACCTGTCGAATTAGCACCCACTATTGAGAATGCTGTCTAGGGGCACCTGGGTGGCTCAGTCAGTTAAGTGTCCAACTCTTGATTTCAGCTCAGGTCTTGATCTCAGGGTCATGAGTTCAAGCGCTGCTTTGGGCTCCATGCTAGATGTGGAGCCTACTTAAAAAAAGAAGAAGAAAAATTCTGTCTAACTCTTGGCTACGTCAGACAATATTCAGATTTTTCAAAGAGGCTAGACCTTTTTCCTAAACTCTGTGTTTTATGTAATTTCACATAAAATAATTGTATTTGGCTTTTATTATAAAAATTGCACAAACTTGTTGCAAAGAAGCAAACAGTACAAAAGGATAAAATTTCCCCTCAGCCCCACTCTCTAGACAGAAGCCCTAATACATTCTGGTGCCTCTTTCCAAAAATTGTACTTTGCATATTCAAGGTTTGAAACAAGAATAAAAATAAAGCAGTGCAGCCTTTAAGAGTGCAGGCTGAGTCTGAATTCAAGGTTGGCTATTTCTTTGGGCAAGTTACTTAAGCTGTCTGAGCCTCAGTTCTCTCCTTTGTAAAGTGGGGACAGCAAAGTGCCTCACTCCAAGATTGTGGGATGGGTGAGATGAGTAAAACCGTGTCAAGCGCTTGGAACGGTGCCTCTCACATAATGGACGTTCAGTCAACAGTGGCTGTAACAAATCCTAAACCCACTTCTCTGCAGCCAGCTTTTTTGGATTTTTAAAAATGCATCTGAGCAAGCAGAATGATTTCCAAGCAAAGTGATGGTTTCTCTTGGGGGTGGTGGTGGTGTGGGAAGGCCAGTTCAAGGAGAGAAGCTGGGTCTGGATGGGGGTGGGAGGGACATAGACCGTTGGCTTTGGGCCAGCCCCAGCCACCTCTCCCTCCCCGTCCACCCATAGCCATGAAGAATGCTACGTTCCAGATCACCCCAGATGTGATCAAAGAGAGTGAGAACATACAGCTGGGCCAGGACCTGAAGCTGTCGTGCCATGTGGATGCAGTACCCCAGGAGAAGGTGACCTACCAGTGGTTCAAGAACGGCAAGCCGGCACGCATGTCCAAGAGGCTGCTGGTGACCCGAAATGACCCTGAGTTGCCTGCCGTCACGAGCAGCCTAGAGCTCATTGACCTGCACTTCAGCGACTATGGCACCTACCTGTGTGTGGCTTCCTTCCCAGGAGCACCTGTGCCTGACCTCAGCGTCGAGGTCAACATCTCCTCTGAGACAGGTGGGCAGCTGAAGCGGCATGGGTGTTTGTGTGTGTGTGTGAGGAAACTGGAGAGGCCTACAGAGGGGAGGTGGGCACAGTAGCTTGGGGGAAAGGAGACCAGAGTAAGGGGAACATGATTTGTGTTTCCTCTGTGTCCATACCCATTTATTAAGCATCTGTTGTATGCCAGACATTGTGCTAGGCTCTGGGGTAGAGTGGTGGGCAAAATGAGCTCTGCTGGCATTGAACGGAAGCAGGAAGGCAAACGTTTTTCAGATAGTCTCACAAATAAATATATCACTGCAAACTCTGACACATGAGAGTCGGGAAAGAGTTTCCTAAGATAGAATGTTTGATCTGAGATCTGAGGGAGGGGCAGGATTTTGCTAGGCAAAAGAGAGCAGAGGAGGCCAAAGAAGCAGCATGTGCAAAGGCCCTGCGACAGGTAAGTGCATGGGCCATTTGGAGCACTTTTGAAGGGAGGAAAGTGGAGCTGAGAGAATGGTGTGAGATGGGAGAGAGCAGAGGGGTCAGCGGGGGCCAGATTATGCAGGGATTTGGGTCTTTATTCCAATAATAATAAATAACAACAATGAGATAATGACTAACATTTATTGAGTGTTTACTCTGTGTTCTGATGATTTCATATTTAGCTCATTCACCCTCATGGTTTACCTTATGTGGTAGTTTATCATCAGCGTTTAGAGATGAAGAAACAGGCTCAGAGAGTTTAAGAAACTCACCTAACAAACAGTAAGTGGTGTAGCTGGGATTCAAACCCAGGGAGTCTGACTGTAGAGCCACCCCTGAAGGGTTTACATTTTAAGAATGACAGGACTTTGGAGGGGATGATTTTGGAGAGAGTCTCTAGAATCTCATCTCCAGTCCTTAGCCCCTTGCACTGAGGGGGACGTTCAGTGGGGGACTCCAGGCTGACTTTGGCTAAGCCTCTTTGACTCTCTGGGCCTCAGTTTCTCCTCTGTGAGATATTGAACCAGATGGCCTCAGAGGCCCCTTCCATCCTGACTTCTGCACAGGGAAAAGACTTCGTAGCCAGGGAGTGTGTCCCTTACAAGCCTTGTAAGTGGATCCCATAGCCGGGACACAGGATGGGAGAGGGAAGATGAGCCTGGGGCGTGGCAGAGGCTGGAGCATGAGGGTCTTGTTTATAGGGCCAAGGAACTGGAGCCTTAACCTGAGGGCAGTGCAGCCTCAAAGGAAGGAGACAGCCCTTTAACCTGTGGGGGCAGAGCAAGGTTGGGAGCTGGGACGTTTTGGAAACAGGGAAATCAACAGGGCACTGGGCCATTTCCTCCATTTGGCTCATTAGCCTGATGCCTAGGGCATGGAAGCTTTTTAAGGGCCTGTGGAAATAATTTAGACCTGGAAAAACAAATTAATTGGCTGCAAAATACAAAGAGAAAACTGTAAAATTAAAGCCAATGCATTTGTATAAATGTTTACAAGAGTACGAATGATCCTAACTAGATAACTGGACCTCAGCTTGCCTTGTGGAGTTATTTACAATTTATATTTAATGTAGGACATTTTAATTTGTTTGATGGGATGTGGGATGGGACCCATGGAAGTCTTTAAAAGACCCTCCAGTTGGGCGATGTGTTGGGTTGGATTAGGTTTGGCTGTGTGTAACAGAAAATCCCGAAATACTACTAGGGGCTTAAATGAGCTAGATGCGTATTTTTTTTTTTCTCATAAAAGTGAGCAGTCCAGGCTGGAATAATGGCTCAGCTCCACCTAGTCCTCAGGGCCCCAGGCTCCATCTTGTCTTGCTATTCTGTTATCCCTAGTGTGGGCCACCTTGTCCACAATGGCAGTTCCAGCTGCAGCCATCAGTCTGCATTCCAGCCCGCAGGAAGGAGGAGTTGAGGGGCACAGCCTCGCCTTTTACAGACCCTTATTTCCTGTCACATCCCACTGGCCAGAATTTAGTCACATGGTCACAGCTAGCTAGCACTAAGACAGGCTGGGAGACATGATGGTTATTCTGGCTGTGTGCCCTGCTAAACTCCAGATATCCTATTACTTTGGAAGAAAGGGTAAGCATGTTGAGGGACAGCCTAGGGATCTGGGATAACACTCCAGAAGGCAAGACGGAAGCTTTACCTAGACCGGGGTCAGTGGGCAGGAGAGAGGGGGTTGAGGGAGGAAGTCATTGAGTAGAACTGTTTACAAGGTGGAACCCCCTTTCCTTGGGCTAAAGGAAAAGAAGGAATAGGCCAGGACGACTTCAGGTGTCTTTCCGAGTTGGGAGACCCCAGGAGGTAGAGAGAACTGGGGGAGGTGAGCTGTGTTTTGGAGATACTGAGGGGTCTTTGGGACATCTGGGATGGGGAAGGGAGGCTCAAACCTAGGGGGAGGGAAGCCGAAGCCCCAAAGCAGGGGCCGGCGGGAGCTCTAACCCTGCTCCTGCCCACCTCCCCACCGCAGTGCCTCCCACCATCAGCGTGCCCAAGGGCAGGGCCGTGGTCACAGTGCGGGAGGGCTCGCCCGCCGAGCTGCAGTGTGAGGTTCGAGGCAAGCCGCGGCCGCCGGTGCTCTGGTCCCGCGTGGACAAGGAGGCTGCGCTGCTGCCCTCGGGGCTGCCCCTGGAGGAGACCCCGGACGGGAAGCTGCGACTGGAGCACGTGAGCCGCGACATGGGTGGGACCTACCGCTGCCAGACGGCTCGGTATAATGGCTTCAACGTGCGCCCCCGCGAGGCCCAGGTGCAGCTGAACGTGCAGTGTGAGTCTCATCGCCCCGCCTGGACTCCCTTCTGAGCTGTCCCTCCGGGTTCTCAGCCTGACCTGCCCCTTCTCCACCCCTTCATACACTCCAGGCCAACCAACCCCCTCCACGTACTGCCCATATCCCCCAAACCTTACCAGCCCCGTGTTCTAAGGTGGGAGGTCTGTGACTCTTGCCACATTGCCATTATCAAGTGCCGCCCCCTTCGCCCCCATCTTCATTCCCAGGGACCCAGTGAGCAAAGAAATAACTGATAGAACAGAACAGGTAGACATGGGAGTTTGAAAGACCTTCAAGGGAGTACGTTGTGTCTGATAGTATAACGATGAGAGTTAACTCACTATAACGATGAGAGTTAACTCACGTCGTGCCAAGCACTGTTCTAAGAGCATTTTAATGCATGAACTCATTTAACCCTTCACAGCCCTATAAATAGACTCTATTATTTCCTCATTTTTACAAACCGAGAAACTGAGTCACAGGATAAGTAACTTGCCTAAGGTCTTACCAGCTAGTTTGAGTTGAGGCAGGGTTGAAATTTGAACCTAAGGCGTCTAGCTCTGGGGATCTTGCTCTGAGCTCCGATGTTATGCTGCTTTTCACTACGTGGGGGAGGGGGCGGGGAGAGGAGTGTGAGGGGACCATCGGAGGCAAGACTAGAGGCCCAGTCTGGGAAGCATGGCTGGAAGAATTGGCCGGGATGGGGTGGGTATTTGCTCAGAGCGCGGCTGTTGTGTATGTTACGAGTGTGTATCCGCTCTGAGATCCCTCCAGGCTGCGGGGTGCGGGAGCGGGGTCGAGTGCGTCGCCTCCGATGGGGCCGCTCCTCCAACCCCACCCGGCCCCGCTGACCGCCGCCCCCGTCCCCAGTCCCGCCGGAGGTGGAGCCCAGCTCGCAGGATGTGCGCGAAGCGCTGGGCCGGCCGGTGCTGCTGCGCTGCTCGCTGCTGCGGGGCAGCCCCCAGCGTATCGCCTCGGCCGTGTGGCGCTTCAAAGGGCAGCTGCTGCCTCCGCCGCCCGCTGTCCCCTTAGCCGCCGAGGCTCCCGACCACTCCGAACTGCGCCTCGACGCCGTCACCCGCGACAGCAGCGGCAGCTACGAGTGCAGCATCTCGAACGACGTTGGCTCGGCTACCTGCCTCTTTCAGGTCTCGGGTGAGCGTCCCGTGGGTCGCGCCCCACCCAACAGCGCCCACCTGGGGCCAGGCTCCGCCCCAACCCCGCCCACAGTCGACCTGGGCCCCGCCCCTTTCCTGCCCCCCCTACACTAAGTTTAGGTCCCTGCCTTTCCAAGACTCGCCCATGCCAGGTCTAAGCCCCGCCCACGCCGCTCGGACCAAACTGTGACATCTTTTAGGGCCCCTCTAGACCGGCTATACCGCTTCACTCACGCCCTCTCCAGGTGTAGGAACTTCTCAAGTCCCGCTTATACGTGCCCTAAGCCCCGCCCGTTTTAGCTCAGCCTCCCTCCCCTTGGCCTCGGACAGCCCTGCCGCTTTCAAACCCCTCCCTACTTCCCCGGGCTTAGGCTTCGCCCCTCTAGCCCCGCGAGCACCAGGTATGGGCCTTTCCCTTTAAAGACCCATCCACACCGCGCCTGGGCCCCAACTACGAGTCATAGGCCCCACCCCTTCCAGCCTCGTCCAATCCCAGCTCTCCGTTTCCTCCTTTCCTGGTAGCAGGTGCGCTCCAGCCCCGCCCACACCAGGTTTAAACCCGCCTACTCAGGCCCTGGGCACCGCCCCATCCCGGCCATCACATTTCAAGCCCCTCCTCCTTCGTCCTGGGCCGCGGAGGCTGCGGACGGAGGACCCCTCTTTTCGTAACTGCAGGCCCAGTGTGAGGGGCCTGAGCTGTAGCTAAGAGGAGAGAAGACGACCCTCAGCAGCTTCTCTGGAACGTCGTGGGTGGCTCTGGGCCAGCCAGCGCACATTTCCTGAGCTGTCACCCCAGAGATTCAGGCCCCTTGGTGCCCAGAAATCCCTCTCAGCCTATCTCGCCGTCAAGTCCTTCCTGGGTGGGCTGTTTGGGGCTGCAGGCGGGCATGGGTGATTCAGAAAGGGGTGGAGGTCGTGGTGAAGGCTGAGGAGAACGCATAGGGGCCGAAGGGGTTTCTGATGCCCTTTCTCTTCTTTGAGGGAGAGCTGGTTCCCTGTCAGAGCTGGTGGCAGCGCCCCTGGAGGAGAGCCCCAGGTGTGCCTGTCCCCTTCTACTGCCCCTCCGGCTCTCTCAGCAGCCCCCAACTGACCGGGTGCCCCTTTAGCTCCTGTTTGGATCTCTTCACTCAAAAGCAGGGGGCCAGGACCGCAGGTCACTCCCCAGCCCTCCCCCCCCACCCCGCCCCGCCAGCCAGAGGCCCCTATGACATTTCCCACCTCCTTCCCCTCCCCTGTTCTCCCACACTTCCCCTGTCTCCCCACCTTTTTGCCTCTCTCTATCCCTCTCTCTTCCTTCCACCTCAAAATCCTTGACCCTTCTTTGTGTCTTTCCCTGTGACTTCTCTAATATCCCTCCTCTGTGTCTCCCCAAATTTCTCTTTTCTCTGGCTTTTCCTTGGCCTTTCCTCTCTGTTCTCACCAATACCACGTCTTGGAATTCCCAATCTCCCTTTTCTCCACTTCCCACTTTCCCTCGTACCCCACCCTCACTCCCCCAATCTCCTCCTCTCCCACTGTCTCCTCTCTTCGCTATATTCCCTTTCTCTTTGTCTCCCCATACCCTGTCTCTGTTCCTTGCCATCTTCTTCCTTCTCCCTCTCCCGTGCCTCCTCTCTGTCTGTCTCTCCCCACCCCCCACCCCTCACCGCCCCACGCCCCCCTCCCCGCCCTCTCAGCCAAAGCCTACAGCCCGGAGTTTTACTTCGACACCCCCAACCCCACCCGCAGCCACAAGCTGTCCAAGAACTACTCCTATGTGCTGCAGTGGACCCAGAGGGAGCCCGATGCTGTCGACCCCCTGCTCAACTACAGACTCAGTGTCCGCCAGGTGGGCCAGGAGGGGACAGGGGCCCGGGGGCAGGCTGACCCTGGGAGTGTCCCTCAAGCCATGGGAAGGGGTTGGAGGCAGGGCTTGGACATATTTGACCCCCTTACAGACCACTCTGCAGAGCCAGAGAGAAAGTATTCCGGACACAGCAGCAGAAGCTGGGAGGTTCTAGGGACCTGCCCCCTCTGACCCCATGCTCTGGGCCCAGCCCTGAGAATTGGGCTGGATCTGCTGGGGATCTTGGACAGGGGAAAGGGGACAGAGCTAGCTCTGCTCACAAAACACAGAATCTACTTGTGAGTCAGGAGCTTAGAGTGGGGTGGGGGGGCAGTCTCATCCACAGGGTCTCTAGAATGCAAGGCTGGAGCTATGCTGTTCTTGTGTCCAGTCTAATTCCATGTGGTTCTCCCCAAGGGGCAGGGGGTGTGGAGGGTAAAAGTGTGGCTCTGGGGCAGACCGCCTAGGCTAGAATCTAGCTCTGTGTGAGCTAGGGCAAATGACATCTCTTTGGCCTCAGTTTCTTTATCTGTAAAATGGGAGTCATTATAATGTTCCACCTCAGAGGATTGTTATTTTGAGGATTAAGTGAGTTAATAATGGCAAATCACTTTGAACAGTGCCCAGCATCACATATTATTAAGGACAGTCCTAGGAGGGAGGCGTGGTAGGAGTGATTGCTCTCTCTCACAGAGAGGGAAACTGAGGGTCTGGCTTCCTAGTCCTTTATTCTTTCTGTTCCCTGACACTGCCCCCCACCCCACCCTCCAAGTCACACCAGGGCCTGGGCTGGTGCTCTGGTGGAGGGTGTGGCCTGCTGGGCATCTGGGAACACCCTGTATCTGCAGTTGAATCAGCACAATGCCATGGTGAAGGCCATCCCAGTGCGGCGCGTGGAGAAGGGGCAGCTGCTGGAGTACATCCTGACTGACCTCCGTGTGCCCCACAGCTACGAGGTCCGCCTCACACCCTACACCACCTTTGGGGCTGGTGACATGGCCTCCCGCATCATCCACTACACAGAGCGTAGGTGGTGGTGGTGGGGTAGGGGTGGTGGGAAGGGTGGGCTCATCTCCTCCCCTGGGGACCCCCCTTCAACCTCCCCACATGGTTCCAGAGCTTGGGGCTCCCCACTGTGCAGTGTTCTACTTTGTCACCGCAGGCTAGGCCCCTCTGGCCCCCAGTCCTGGTTTCGGGAACCCTGTCCCCTGGTCCAAAGCCTGGGCACCCTCTGTACGGTCCCACACCTCAGTTCTGACTTGGTTTTCCTGCTTGCTTTCTCAGCCATCAACTCTCCCAACCTGTCAGGTGAGACACCTCCCGCCCACTTCCCCTTCCCTTTGGGAACACAAAGACTCCCTTGGTGGGAGGAGAGGACCCCGAGAGGTACCCAGAGAGAAAATGGGGTGGAGGCCAGCCGCTGGAAGGAGAAGCCAAAGGGGACAAGGCTGGGCTTGGAGACACGTGCATCCAGGATTGATTCTGGGGCTTAAAGGTGGAGGGGGGGCAGAGGTAGGGGACGTCTGTAACTCAGGGCCCCTCCTCCTCAATCAGCACCCTGATCCTGTCCCTAGAATCACTGTCCCTAAAAGAAAAATGGAGAGACCAGACTTATCCACATCCCGTTTTCTGCTGCAGGGGTCCTTAATCTGAGATCCGGGAAGCCCTCCCTCCCCCCAAAGGATCTGTGTATAGAATTCAGGGGGTCCGTGAACCTGGAACGTGGAAGCGCGTACAGTTACTTCTTTATCTTCCCCTAACTTCTAGCAGAAGTTTAACATCTTCAGGGACGAATGTAGGCAACAGACCACACTAGTATAATCACTACCTGTGACCCTGTCATCAGGACAAAGCCCCGGTTTGCACATTATCTTAAAGTTGTTGCAGCCTCTCCTGAATATCATTTACATTCGTCAGGGCTTCAAAACCACAGCAGTTATTAGAGCTAACACTAGATCTTGTTATTTAATTAGATAATAAAGAGGCCCACCTATTGTTATCTCACAAATGTGTTTTTTAAATATTTTGACAGCTGTATCTCCATATAAGTGATTTTCCTTTGTGACCCTGTGTATTTCATTTTGTGCATCTAAAATTATTATTCTGAGATGGAGCCCTTAGACTTCACTAGATCTCAGAGGGTCTGCGGTGTACAAAGGTTAGGAAGTCCCGTTCTGGGAACGGATTTCTCAGGGGCCCTGTTGCCTGGTTTCTCAAGCCCTGAGATCCTAGGCCTACGGCTTGGATGTGTGGCACCTGCCTCGGGGTGGCCAGGGAGGGTGAAACTAGACCAGGCCGCCTGAGGAGCCTGACCCTCTTTGTCTCCTTCCCCCGCCCCCTTGGCCCAATGCAGACAACACCTGCCACTTTGAAGATGAGAAGATCTGTGGCTACACCCAGGACCTGACAGACAACTTTGACTGGACACGGCAGAATGCCCTCACCCAGAATCCCAAGCGCTCCCCCAACACTGGTCCTCCCACTGACATCAGTGGCACCCCTGAGGGTGAGGACATGGACTGCGACAAGGACAGCTTCAGGGAGGGGTCTAGCACTAGGGAACCCCAGTCCAAGGGGGGAGACACAGCCCTGTCCTCAGGGAGCCCCAGTCTGAGGGGGAGACACAGCCCTGCCCTCGGGAAGCCCCAGTCTGAGGGGAGACACAGCCCTGCCCTCGGGAAGCCCCAGTCTGAGGGGCAGCCCTGCCCTCAGGGAGCCCCAGTCTGAGGGGAGACACAGCCCTGCCCTCGGGAAGCCCCAGTCTGAGGGGAGACACAGCCCTGCCCTCGGGAAGCCCCAGTCTGAGGGGGGGGAGACACAGCCCTGCCCTCGGGAAGCCCCAGTCTGAGGGGAGACACAGCCCTGCCCTCAGGGAGCCCCAGTCTGAGGGGAGACACAGCCCTGCCCTCAGGGAGCCCCAGTCTGAGGGGGAGACACAGCCCTGCCCTCAGGGAACCCCAGTCCAAGGGGGGAGACATAGCCCTGCCCTCAGGGAGCCCCAGTCTGAGGAGAGACACAGCCCTGCCTCAGGGAGCCCCAGTCTGAGGGGAGACACAGCCCTGCCCTCAGGGAGCCCCAGTCTGAGGGGGAGACACAGCCCTGCCCTCAGGGACCCCAGTCTGAGGGGGGAGACATAGCCCTGCCCTCAGGGAGCCCCAGTCTGAGGAGAGACACAGCCCTGCCTCAGGGAGCCCCAGTCTGAGGGGGAGACACAGCCCTGCCCTGAGGGACCCCAGTCTGAGGGGGGAGACATAGCCCTATCTCAGGGAGCCCCAGTCTGAGGGGGAGACACGGCCCTGCCCTCAGGGAGCCCTAATTTGAGGGGGAGACACAACTCTGTCTTCATGGGGACTCAGAAGAAGAGAAACTGCAGTAGAGCTCGGAACTCCTGGCCTAGACTCCCGTGCCGGGCGGTGAGGCAGGGAGGTGGAGGTGGGATGGGTGAGGCCCCTGGGGTCAGATGAAGTTAAGGCAGTGAAGGAAGCAGTTGGAAAGCAGCCTGTGTGGGGTGAGGAGGAGGCTGTTGGTGCATCTCCCCCTCCCCAACAGGCTACTACATGTTCATCGAGACATCAAGGCCCCGGGAGCTGGGGGACCGAGCCCGTTTGGTGAGTCCCTTGTACAATGCCAGCGCTAAGTTCTACTGCGTCTCCTTTTTCTACCACATGTACGGGAAGCACATCGGTGAGTCAGGGGACCCAGTAGTCTGCCCAAGGGTTGCTGGGGCGGGGAGGAGAGAGGGAGTCCACAGGAGGCTGGGCATGGCCCATGCGAGGTCTGGGCTTCCCAACTTGGCTGAATCACAAATCCTTGGAGGGGGTGTAGGCAGAATCTGGGCAAGGGAGGAAGCCAGAGCCGGCTTGTCTGAGGTTGTCCTGAGTCTGCAAAGAAGATGGCTCCAGCAGGACAAGATGGAAGCCTTGGAGGAGAGGGCGAAAAAGGCTAAGAGGGTGTATGTACTGAGCACCTGTCAAGTGCCCGGTGACTTCCTGGGTGCTCTGCATCTGTAGTCCCATTATCTCTCACAAGCACCAGGTGAGGGAGGTACTACCATACAAATCAGAGAGGTTCAGCCTTTTCCCCAGGATCACACAGCAACCCAAGTTGTCTGACTCCCCCAAGCCCTGAACACAGGATTGGGAGGGTGCCGCTTTGTGAGCACTGAGGGGCAGTCCGCCTTCCTAAGGGTGGGCGTGCATCTGCCCTCTGGGAAGTCACATGAATCAATGACCTTATTTCCCGAGCTCCTGCTCTGTGCCAGGCATCAGGTACTGCGATGAACAGGGCAGAGCAGTTCCCCGCGCTCCTGGCACCTACGGTCAAGTGGGAGAGACAGACGATAAACAGCTAATGGCACCAGATAAGACTGAGGGGCCGTTGTGACACGTGTCCATGTGGCCAAGACAGCTGGGAACAGGGACCAGCGCTGGGGGCTTGATTATGGAAGACTCTGCTGAGGAAGTGACAAGTTTTTAAATTTTTTTATTTGTTTACTTCTTTACTAAGACAGGCCGTGTATTTTGCATGGGTCAGAAGGGACAAAGGGCGCGTAACGAGAGTCCCTCCCCCATCCCAGTCCTCTTGCTACCTAGAGCCCTCCCCCAAAGGCGGCCACTGCGCTAGATTTGAGGGCAGGTTTCCGGAAACACTGTGTACATACAGAAGCCAGAGGCAGATTTGAATTTGACCGGAGGAAGACCCCGTAAGCCTCAGATCGGGACAGGAGGGCTTTCCAGCAGGGATGCCGTGGAGGGGCCCCTGTCCCAAGTCACGTTACTCCCCTGCTCTGCCCCTTTCATCACCATCTCGCCTAGGCCTCCAGTATCTGATCCAGCCCCTGCCTCCTTCTCTGACCTCATTTTCTGCCACTTTCGCCTTGGCTCCCACTCAGCTCGCGAGCACACTGGTCTCCGTGCTTTTCTTGAAATACCTGAGGTGGGGGCCTGCTGAAGAGGACTTTGCTCATGATGTTCCCTGGCCTGGAACATTCTCCCCTTCCCTCATTCAGGTCTCCTCAGAGAGGTCCCCGACAGTCCCACCTCAATACCTCTTTATTCCTTTCCCTGCATTCTTAGCTTTATAATGCTTACCACCAATAGAAGGTAAGCTCTAGGAGGGCAGGGGTCTTTGCCTTATTCACTGACGTACCTCTCATGTATAGAACAGTGCCTGGTACATAGTGGGGCTCAGTTAGTTGAACGAATGAATGATAGGGAGGCCTAAGGTTCCCGAACCCCAAAGAAACTTCTAACCATGAGGTTCTCTGAAAGTCCTCTTTCGGTTGTGAGGACCATCATAAACAGTTCATTCAGCATTTAATGGTTTAGAACCCATAGCAACTTGCTGCAGACCTTCCCTCAAAGAGTCAGACGGGGAGGAGAAGATGTGAATCCCCGCTAACTGTCACACCCCGGAGCAGAGAGTGATCTGGGGCCTGGAGGGCTGCAGTGGAAGGACTCGGCCTTCACAGGAAGCACAGAGGACTCCCAACTCGAGCCTAGGAAGATTTCTCGGGGGAGATGGCGTTTCAGAGAGGCCTCAAATCACAGGAAGGATTTGGCCAGGGCAAAATGTGGTAGGGGAGGGAGTCTCCAGCAGTGGGAAAAGCCTGAGCAGAAGCGCAGAGGCTGGGAAGCTGCAGTCTGTCTGTCCAGGCTCTGGCACAGATTTCACTCTGGCTTTGCAGGTGGCAAGGGAGGTAGGGAAGACAGTAGTGAGCAGGCCCACCCTTCAGGGAGGTTGCAGGCCTTGGACCCTGGCTGACCCCTGTGAAAGGCTGTCGGGAAGCCCCTGAGCAGGGGAGATCCGAGAGCTGATGGGGTACTTAGGGAAGGGGGCAGAAATTCAATTTTTGGTTGAGGAGTGAAAAGGAGGGGTCCCCCCATTAGTGGCCTTGGGGCAGGGTGGTGGAGGAGGGAGAAAAGATGTGGGAATTGAGGGGGATAAGAACGGGGGGTAGAAGAGCCCCAGGAGGGGGAAGAGAGAGGGTCCCTTTGGGGCTGGTGAGGAGCCTGAAAGGTATTGGGGCTTGGGCCTATTGAAGCCTGTGTGGCACCTCCCGGCCCACTGGGAGCTGGGATAGCCATCTGATGGGTCCATCTGCTGGCGAGGGTCCCCACCCAGGCCTGGCCCTGCTGCTGGGGAATGGGGTGTTTCTTGCTGTCCTGTTCCCTCCTCTTCCCTCCCCTCCTAGCCCACCTGGCAGCTCTGAGCACCAGCTGTCCCCAGACCTTGTGTCTTTCGGGCCAACTCCTTTCAGCTCAGGCAGGTAACATTTGGTGACTCTCCCCCACTGGGGGTCTGCTATCTGGTGTCACAGATGGTGTGGCTTTGTCTCTGGACAGCGCCATGGAAATGCCAGCCACCAGGTGCTAAGATTCATTCCCGCTTCCCTCTGAGCCAGATCCTCCATATCACTGGGGGCTCGAGGCGGGCTGGACGAGCCAAGAAGGGGCATGACATGGCCTGGGCGCTCTTCGCCAAGCCACGATCCCTTCCCTCTTTTCCAGGGCCCCCAGCACCTCCAGAATTCCAGGCCCCTGTGGCTGTGGGCACACGAGCTCAGCACCCACAGGCAAATGCCCTCAGCGTTTCACTTCCTCTGTTTTTCCCGTGGCTATGTGGCACAAATACCAACATCTCTCTTTAAAGCAACTCCCTCTCTTTTTCTTAGCTTTGTCCGAAGCGTCAATATTAGAGAAATTGTGAGTTTGAAGGACTCGCTTCATTCATTTCTCAAAACATACATCTAAGTATCAAAAGTTTTAAAGGCCATTCCTGTGCTTCCAGAAAAATCATCCCACGCCAGGGGTGTGCACTGTGTGCTTTGGGAATCCTGCTCTGTGCTCAGTCATGGGCCCCACTGCCTGGGACAACTCCACTGTTTAGAGGAAGAAGGATGGTGTGTGTGTACGTGTGTGTGTGTGTGTGTGTGTGTGTGTGTGTGTGTTGGGGGGATCAGCTGATTAGAAAGGAAGGCAAGGAATGAAAGAAAATTGCAGGCATCCTGATGAATTGAAGGCTGCTGCTGTCCTCTCTGTCCCATGTTGAAGGTGCCCCCCACCCAGGGATAACGGGATGTGAACCAGTCTGGGCTGGTGGTGTGGGCAGTGGCGGGGGAGGGGGGCCTTGTCCAGACCCTCACTGCCCCCCTCTCTTCATCCCCACCACAGGCTCCCTCAACCTCCTGGTGCGGTCCCGGAACAAAGGGGGCCTGGACACGCACGCCTGGTCCCTCAGTGGCAATAAGGGCAATGTGTGGCAGCAGGTGCATGTGCCCATCAACCCCAGCGGGCCCTTCCAGGTGAGTCTAGCAGGCCCGGGGGCCCCTCACAGGCTCCCCCAGCCCTCAGGCCGGCACTCTGGCCAGGGAGCACTTAGGAAGACTCCAGGCTCCCTCCGGGGAGCTGGGAAGAGACCCAGGCGGGGGTATGGGGGCTTCCAAGTGGACTGAGGGGAAGGAAGGGGTTGGGAGCTCTCTCAGGAAGAATCCCCTAATCCCTGCTCTCTGACCCCACCCCAGATTATTTTTGAGGGCGTTCGAGGCTCTGGCTACCTGGGGGATATCGCCATAGATGATGTCACACTGAAGAAGGGAGAGTGTCCCCGGAAGCAGATGGATCCCAATAAAGGTGCAAGATGGGCAGGGAGGGAGGGAGGACCCAACTGTAGGGGGGAGGTGTGGGTAGGCACCTATCTGTGTCAGGGCTGAATGGGGGTTCAGAGTGACTGGGTGATGGCATGCGTGTGTCAGGGACTACATGAACAGGTGCTGGTGTGTTTGGGCCCCACCTTGGGCCCCACCCTGGCTCAGGTTATGGGGCGTTTGTAGGGCAATGAGAACTGTGCCCTCCCGTGAACTTACTGAGTTATTACAGTACCCAGATGCCGCCTCTGTCTGCGTCTGGGTATGTCTGTGGGCGGGGGGGGGGCAGATGTGAACGTGTGCCCCACCCCCCAGGGCCAGGTGTTTGCAGTTGTAACAGCTGGGATTTACTGAGTGATTACCATGCACCAGGCAGGGTGCAAAACCCTGTATATGCACGATCTCATGTCGTGAGGACAACAGCCCCCTGGGGTGGCACTGACTACTGGACTCATTTTACAGACGAGGAAACTGAGGCCCACGGAGGTCAGGTGAATTGCTCCGTGTCTTAGTGAGCTGCAGAGCCAGGATTTGGACCCTGGCAGGCTTAAGTTAAGCCCCACACCACCCAACCTCACATCTGTGCTTATGGGTGTGTCTGTGTGCAGTGAGGGCAACGTCCCCCTTTAGGTCCCCCCGAGAGAGGGGGCAGCTTGCTAGGCCCCGGCCCTGCCGAGCTGACCGGGGCCCCGGTCTGTGTCCCTTCTCTCTCCTGTCGCAGTGGTGGTGATGCCGGGCAGTGGAGCCCCCCGCCAGCCCCACCCACAGCTCTGGGGGCCCATGGTCATCTTCCTCTTGGCATTGCAGAGATGATGAGAGCTGCGTGGCCCCCCCACCCCGCCCCCGGCACACCAAAGTGTCCACATCGTACCAAAGACTGACCTCCGCCAGCCGGGGTGCCCAGGGGCAGGGCCGGCCCGCCAGGGAGGGGGCCTGCGTTGGCTGCGAGGATGAGCAGAGAAACAAGGACAGAGGCCCGGCGCTGAGGCCCTGGAGCCGGTCGTTTGACACATGCACACACGCACACACGCACACACTCACACGCACACACACACATATATTAAAGCACAAGTTTCTATCCGACCGGCCAGCACCTTCTTTTCTGCGGAGACAAGGGACTCGCCGGAATGGTGTCTACCACCCCAGGGACCTTGGCGCCACATGGGCGTTGTCCTGGCTGCACCTGTTCCTAACTGGTGACCTTCCCTCGTTCCTAACTCAGTCCAGTGGCTTTACCAGACGGGAGCCAGAAGGGGAGCCGGTTCGGGAGCCCCAACCTTGGCTGGATTCTGGGACTCCCTGGGATGAGGGAGGCTGGGGTCAAAGGAGGCCCAGGAGGCACCTGCCACACGCCCTCTGTTTTCAGGGCAAGGGCTGGAAGGTGGAGACCCCAGGTCACCTTGATCCCTTGACCTGTTTGTTCTTGGACTTCATATCCTCCCCACACTGTGCCCCTTTGGAGGGACGCAGCACAGGGTCTTGGGCCTGGGCAGTCTGAAGACTGACACCTTCCCTCCTGCCCCATCTGTCCCCACCCCACCCCACCCCACAAGGAGCTGGATTCCTGAGAGCACAGTCTCCACCCTAGTCAGCTGGCTTAACATCAGCACCCACCTGCGTTTCGAGGGAGCGGGCTGGGGGGTGGGGGGTGGGGTGCTGGCCAGCCATTTTCTGGGCTGAGGCTTGACTTTGAGAGGAGCGGAGGAGAAGGCCTGTTTTTTGCGAGTTTGTGCCCCCATGGCATTTGGGAGTAGAGCGGAGCCTTCATTTCTTCTATACTTGGCAGGAAGGGGTGCTCTGGATAAGAGGGTATGTGTTAAGGGGGTGTGCCTGCTCCCCCTCCACTGCAAAGGACCATCTCGTTGGCTGATCCCTTCCCGGCCCAGTGGGGGAAGGAGGGGTTTGCAGAGCTGGGGCAGGGGGCAGGCCAGTTGCTGGCCTCCTGTTGCCCTGGAGCTGAGCTCATGCCCAGAACCAAAGGGCTCCCTGTCCTCAGGTTCTGGGTTGGGAGCCTAGGTGAGCACAGTGGAACCTAGCCCTCTCCTCCTCAATGTCACCCTTGAGACCCCACCCCACCATCCATGGGAGAGAGGAGGCCCAGCCCCTTCCAGGGTGAGTCTTCATGCACGTGTGCATGTGGCCGTGTATGTGTGTGTGTGTGTGTGTGTGTGCGCACGCGCATGCACCCGTCTGTGTCTGTGTAGCACTGTGGGTACATCTCTGGGCAGGAGTGTGTGCAAATGTGAGTCTGCACGCGCAATTACACATATCCGTCTGTGAGGCCGGTCTAACCCCTGGTTTGGTGTGCGCCTGCGGGATGTCGGCATGCATGCCCCCTCCACGAGTGACATGAATATGTGTGGGGTGCTGGCCAAATGTACCACTTGCAGCCCTATTCTGTAGCCTCAAGCTGCCTGCCACCGCCTGAATTTCTACCTTTCATCCCTTATGGATGACAAAGCTTACAGACGACCCTATTGAAATGCGAGCACCTTTGGTGGGGTGTGTTACAGGGCTTGGCCTGGAGCATTCGGAGGGGACAGCTACAAAGCAGGGGGAGCGGGGCAGTGCCAAGAAGCAGGCGGGGCACCGACGCAAAGGCGGCCCCTCTCACTGCTCCGTGGCCTGTGCTGTCATCATCACCAACAGCTGGGGCGGCTGGGCCAGGCCTGGAGCGGGGCCTTCGGATCCCCCCACCAGCCTGGCTGCCTTGCTGGCCCAGCCAAGGCCTCTCTCCAAAATGAGTGGCTCCGGGTTCCCAGAACACACTTCCATCCCATCTGCTGAGTATTGTTCCTCAATTGTCCCGTCTGTTGCCCCCAACTAGACTGTGAGCTCCTCCTCCGAGCCTTCCAACCTTCTCCCCCAGCCCATCCCAACCTCATGCCCAGCACAGGTGGGCCCGATAGGGGAATCACTGTGGGCTTTGCCGAGTGGAACGGATTCTATAAATCAGGGCTTCCCAGCCCTGGCTGCAGAATCGAACCACCAGAGGGTCTTTTAGAAAGCATGGATGCTTGGGTCCTATCCCCAGAGGTTCTGATTTCACTGGACTGGTGGGCAGCCTGGCATCAGAAATGTTTAACAGCTCCTCGGAAGAACCCAGGAATGCGAATCACTGGCCTGCCAGGGGCTTCCTCTGCGCCCTTGCTGGGGTGGGTATGGAGGTGCGGAGAGGAATGGCACCAGGCACCTCCTCCTTGGGGCACCGAGGTCCTTGGTCCTCCTGTGTGAATGGGCGAGGCTGGTGCCTGTGTGTGTGTGTGTGTGTGTGTGTGTGCGCGCACGCAGGTCTGCAGGGAGTGTGTGTGTCTGTGCATACTAGCACTAACAGTGTGTGATGGGAGTGCCCAGGGTGTGCCGGTCTGTGTGTGGGAGGATGGGGTCTGCAAGGAAGAAGTGTCTTTGTGTGTCTCAGTGTTCGTGTGTCTGTGTCTGCCTGTGAGTCAGCACCTCTGTGTCAGTGTCACCTGTGCCGTGGGTGTCAGCGTCTGTGTGCTGGTAGGTGGCCCGTGAAGACCCGCAGCCCAGGGGAGACCAGGCTGGCTGGATCCGGCGCATCTCCCCTGTGGCAGTCTCGCCCTCTGGGTCAGGGTGGCTGAGGCATTTTGTGGCCTTAAAACAGGGAGTCCGGGGTCAGCTCTCAAGGTGTTGGGGTTTGTTCACTCCAGTTGCCCCCCGTTTGATGTCTCGGGGAGACCCCTGGGGCCAGGTGCTGTACAGGCAGAAGAGGGGGAGTCTCAGCTGGGCTGTGCTGCCCCTGGGACCACAGGCAGCCACCCGGGGTACCCAGCTAAGCCTGCAGACCGAGCCCCCGCCTCCCGGGATGCTCCTCCCACCTTGCCTTTTCTGGGATACCCTGCCGCCTCTTTCCCTTTCCCGTTCATTCTCCTTTCTCCCTGTGCTTGGCGGAGGCCCCGGGCTCAGGCTCGCGTGGGTGGAATGGGCCTCAGAGGGCCAAACCCCTCCTTGTGTAAATGAGAAAGGTGCAGGGGGCGGATTGGCCCAAGGTCACACAGCCGGTTGGGGTGGAGCCAGCCTGGGAAGCCCGGTGCTCCCACCCTGGGGCTGTCACCCTGCTGGCCAAGGCCTCCTATCAGGCAGCAGCGCCGAGCTTGGTCCACCTGCCCTGTCTTCTGGGCGCTGGTACAGATGTTACGGATGTTACGGGGCACCTGCTCTAGGAGCGGTGCTGTCTCCCTGCCCCAAATTCTGGCCTCTCATCCCAGATCAGGCCTGGGTGCCACGCGGACGCTGCCTCCCCCTGCCCACACTGGCTTTAGCTACTGCCCAGGCTCCCAGGGAGAAAGGACTGTTTCCCCTCCCCGGCCCTCTGTCTTCACGTGAGCCTGGGCTCTGAAGGAAGATCGGTGTGTCCTGGTGTCCTCGTCCTACGGGCTTCCCCCTGAGGACCAAGAGGGATGGGGTGAGAGGGTACAAAGTTTTGTGTTTCCCCTTCCCTGGACTCAGAGGGCTTGGCATATTTCCAAGGTCTGTCCCAAGGAATGGGGTGGATGAACCTGCTCTGGAGAGTCCCTGTAGGGCCACGGGTTGAGGTTCTGGGCTCGGGGGAGCCCTCCCCACTTCCAAAGGCAAGATGGCATGCCCCTCTCTGTTGAATCAGTGCTGAGTGTGAGCGTGTGTGTCTGTGAGGGTGAAGGGGTCTGGGCGGGGGTGTGAATCTGTGTGTGTATGTGTGTGAGGGTGTGTGCCGGGGCAGAAGGACCACTCCTTCCTGGGGAGCCCTTGACCCTGAGAGCTGGAAGGGACCTTAGAGACCATCTAATCCAGTGCCCCCATGATACAGGTGAGAAAGCTGAGGCCAGAGACATGGCACTTGCCCACCATCACCCCTCCCTCGTGTTCCCTGCATTCATTTCCCAGAGGCCCCACTAGGAGGGCCCTCCCTCCCGGTACCTCCCCACCCCCTTCCAGCCACCCGCATAATCACCGTCTCAGCTCAACTCTGCTGGCGCCTCTGCCCCAGCGGTCTCCAAGCATCCTTCCTGCCCCAGGCGGCCAGCTCACCAAGGCCTTTATCCCCAACCCAGGAGAAGGGGCAGGGGACGGAGGGGACTGCTCCAGCCTTGAGGCCTCCCAGACTTGAGAGGAAAGCCAACCCCTCCATGCCCAGGCCCACCCCAACCACCAAGGTAAAAGCACAACAGGAGACCCTCATTCATGGGTGAAAGGTCTTGGGGTTGTTTTAGTCGGACGACCCCGTCCTCACCCCTTTGCCTTGCTCTCTGTCTCCACCCCAACCTCTTTGTCCTTCTTTCACCCCCAAGCCTCCCAAATGTAACCTCTAGTTGCGGACGCGGTTGTTTCAATAAATAAAGCTGCAGTGTTCTAGTGCTCCGGGTCCGGCTGTGTGTGTGGGCAGCAGGTGGGCCAGGAAGGGGCACAGGTGAGTGGCTAGGGGGTCTTTTCAGATCTCTGGGGAGAGCCCTCCTCTTTGGCACCTGCTATCATGGGTCCTGCTCTGCCGCCCGGACAGTGGGGACCTGCATTCTGGTCTCCAGCCCAATGAGCCTGGTGTCCTCATTCATTTGTTCCTTGAAGAAATACTAGCCAAATACCGCCTTTGTGGATGCTCCTGCTTTAGTGGGGGAGACAGACACCAAGCTCATAATTACACCAGGAAACACATCATTATGAATACAATTAGCGCTGTAAGAGCAGGTTCTCATTTGGGCTAGAGATTCAGGGACAACTTCTCTAAAGAAGAGGCATTTAGGATGAAAGACCTCAATGTCAGACAGAAATCCATCAAAATCCTAGGGGAGAACATAGGCATTAACCTCTTTGACATCAGCCACAGCAACCGTCTTTCAAGACACGTCTCCAAAGACAAGGGAAACAATAGCAAAAATGAACTTCTGGGACTTCATCAAGATAAAAAGCTTCAGCACAGCAGAGGAAAACAGTCAACAAAACTAAGAGGCAGCCCATGGAATGGGAGAAGATATTTGCAAATGACACTACAGATAGAGGGCTGGTGTCCAAGATCTATAAAGAACTTCTCAAACTCAACACCCAAAAAACAAATAATCGAGTCAAAAAATGGGCAGAAGACACGAACAGACACTTCTCCAAAGACATACAAATGGCTACCAGACACATGAAAAAATGTTCAACATCATTAGCCATCAGGGAAATTCAAATCAAAACCACATTGAGATACCACCTTACACCAGTTAGAATGGCAAAAATTAACAAGGCAGAAAACAACAAATGTTGGCGAGGATGTGGAGAAAGGGGAACCCTCTTACGCTGCAAGCTGGTACAGCTACTCTCGAAAACAGTATGGAGGTTCCTCAAGATGTTAAA